CGCACAGGAATGTTGTGGTGGATTCTGTGATGGGATCGACTACTCGCAAAAATTTGTACACATCGAATTTGACAGTATTGCGTGAAAGGAATATCTACTTTTTATTGGTTGAAATTAGCCTATTTATTTGAGAAATCCGGAGGGTCTTATTCCGTGTCGCCGAGGGTATTTCTACACTAAGGGCCCGTCTGGAAGCCATCCAAAATATTATCACGATATTGAAATATCTCATTCTCTGCATTTTTTGAAATGCAGATTCAGTATATTGAAATAGCGCGATAGTATAAAATGCATGTCATGTTTGGCTGTACGATGTGATATGACGAAACGAAGCTTCGGTTCGAGGTTCGAATGCTGCAATCCCAAAAACGCGCGAAGATCCAAGCACATCATGTCGGACGAGCGAACATCCTGGACTGACGAGAAAGACGCAACATGGATGACGGAAATGGTATATCAAGTTGTCGTCTTGGACAAGCGTGCCAATAGCGGCTTCAAAAAGGAAGCAAGTACCAACGAAGAATGGACAACATGACAAACTTCGTCATGGCGCGCACGCACTGTCAAATTTTTCGTCTCCTTTTTTGAAATGCCGAAAGGCGGTCATAATATGTTGATGTTGTGCAAAATATACAAGTTCAAGTCGTATACTTCGAAGTGTTCAATACACCGTTTTTCAGGATATATCATCACGAATATCGTGATGTTTTTTGTCCCACAATTGGCTTCCAAACGCAGGATTATATCGATATTCGGCATATCACTATTCTTCTCAATATATCGAGATATATCGTGTTATTTTGTGGTCCAGACGGGACATATATTTTTACCACTTTTGCACAAATCCTACGCCTATGACAACTCCCAAACAAACTCCAAGTCAAATGTGTGCAATAACAAGAGAATGACATTGTACCAGGAGCTGCTGACAGTCAGCACTAACAGTACGCTGTCCCGCGAGATAAATAGAGACATTCTGCAAAGTATTCGGCGACAATTCGCCGACTGGGTGGCGCACATGGGCGCCCAGCAACGACATCAAGTCCACCAGCACGTGTGTCAACGTGATGTCAAGAATCTAATTGTCTGGACGGAAGAAGGCCTACATGACGGACGAGATCGAGGAGCGAATCAAGACCACCGCAATGCATCGTAGCCAAACGCATCTCGTTCTCTAGCGGCCGCTGGGGGGGCGACCAAGCGGACAATATGGACGTTCATTCGACACAAGTTGAACATGTCGTGTACAAGCTGGTCGAAGCTGAAACTAAAACCCGAGCACTAGACGCAGCACATGGAGTTTTGCTCGTCGCATGTACTGTATCATTAGTAGGTCAACGTGAATTCAATGATATGTTTAATGTCATTCGTATTGATGAAGCATGATTTTAACTCACAAAGTTTTGTCGTCACTTCTATATGTGACACGACGAAACGTTGCCGTCACGGTCACTACAATCGAAGTCTCACATCACGAAAGTGATGTTTCTAGTAGATATTGCTCGACCAAGGCTGGGCTGGGACGTAAGCGTGAGTTACTGGCCGATTGTTGAGACCACTGTTGCCCAAGGCAGAAGCGTAAATTGTCCCGCTGGTTCTCCGATTTGTCTACAAGCACAGTGACTACGTGTATTCATCGTGAATACCTGTTACCTGTATCTTGTCAATACGGTTCTACCTGCCATCAAGTCGTCGTGGGTTTAGGCTGGCGACGACTGGTCCCGGCGCGTTTACCTGCAGCAAGACAATGCCTGGCCGAACTTCGCCACCGACGATGTCGTGTTCATTCAGCATGATGCTGCTGGTTGGTGGTACATCTGACTAATGTGCCAGTCACTACAGTCCCCAGACCTCATCGTGCTTGACCTTGGCTACTGCAACTCGATTCAGGCCTGCAACAGCAAATGAATTGTCGTTCACTCGTCGTGCTGGTATCTGCTGTCGAAGTAGTGATCGCGTCCCTACCTCTCGAAAAATTTGTAAGGTCTTTTCGACGGTGAAAGCGTGGTATGCATGCGATTATCGACATCAATGCCAACAACAAGTTCAAGTTTCCACGCAGCAAGGCATTGTTGATTTGAAAATGATGAACTTGCGTCTCAAAAGGAAGATAAAATGGATGAACTGTCTGTCATCTCTGGTCAAAGTCATGGAAGTGCGAGAAGCACGATTGTAGTCCATCGCAGCTCTTTCTTGCCGACTCAGCCGGTATCTTCGCTGCGTCTCCGCACGTTTCAGCTTCCTTTCGTTTGACGTTCGTTCGTACCGCGCTAAGACTTGCCCATAAAACGTCGCGTCTTCATAACGCAGAGGCATGAGGGAAACATGAAAATTCGTCAACGCAAACGTTGTCCGCTGGATGGAATCGTAGCTCTTCTCTGACCACGAAAACGTAGCGTACGAGATTTTCCAAAGAGAGCACACACGTCCAAAAAAGTTCTCTACCACCGCGCGATCCGACGAAATTGAACGATTACGTCCAAGGTCAGATGCGTCCAAGATTCCTGACACAGGGCGGCGCTTCGGCGTGATCCCACGGATCGTATGGCTGATGCCAATGTACCCCATGTCGGCAAGGCAGGCCCAATGGTTCCGGAACTGCGTCGACAACTCTCCATGGTCGGGCAGTGCGAGTTCATGCGGCGTCTTTTCCAGCATGGCCATGTGCGTGGCTTGTCTTTGATGCATGATGGTGAGGTCGTGCACGGATCTTGCGTGGGCTCTTGACATTGCCACACAACGACCCCTCGGTGAGACCGCAGCTTCAATCTTGTACCCGTAGAGACCATGCTTGCCACTGAAGTAACGTTTTTGCTCCAGGAATCGACCGGATGGACGGAGGGAGGGTTGGAATTTCACGTCAACGGCATATAATGCGTACGGAAAGTTGTCGAATCGGTTGCCGGACTCAGTCAAGCTGGCCATGGTGTCCACCACAACGAAACGATCGTGCAGTATGGGTTCAATAATCTAGGTAACCAGGAGACTCAATACACCAGACGAGTTCACATGACACATGGAGCTTAAGGTGAGGACGCGCATGACCAGCTTCTCGAACGTCGGGGCCTTGAACCCGCAATCAATTGCATGCTTGTCCCAGGAGCTGAAGTGCTTCAACACAGAGAGCGCCATGAAGAAGCAGTCCTTCGGACTTGTGGGTGAGCGGCGACCACGACCAGCAAGCCATGCAGTATTCATGGCGTCATCGACAATGGACCACAAGGTTTCGAACTCACTGACGGTAAAGTTCGTCATTGAACGGATGCTTTCAGGTCCCAGGTCAGTGATGAATCGCTCCATTATGGGATAAGTTGGAACGTCAGTCCTTTCGGACACAATCTCGGTAACGTCACCGTATTCGAGAAAAGACGAGTGCAGATAGGACTGGTCTTGAAGGCGATTGAGGACAGCGTTGGCGTTTATGGGCATTGTAGTGAGGGAATCAAATGAGAAGTGAAGCGAATTGACTGAGTGAAGTGGTGGTGGAAGTGAACTGACTGAGTGAAGTGAAAGGAAGTCAATTGGAGGAAGGAGGCGAATATGTCACGATTTTTGGCCGCAAAAGGTTGTGACGTGAGTTCTGCCAAAAACACGTATTAAGTTTTGACTTGTTTTCAAAATAAGGTTTGGAATCTCCTTATGTAGTGTAAATCCTTCGCTTTTTCGCCCATCCTTTACCGAAAAATGAACACATCATTGCGAATTATTTTGTGTTTCGACAGGTGACCTGTATGCATACTTTAACGTCAATAACTACGTTTTAGTGTGCGGCCATTGCACGAAAACTGCAGACGAATGACTCTGACGAAATACCATTCCGCAGCAGCTTATTAGTTGCCGTCTCGTATACACATCCTAACATGCATGAAAGATTACATGGTATCATATTCACGAGATCGCCATGCCATGAAGCGGCTCAAATGATGTCGAGACTCCGCTGTATCTTAGTATGCCTTGTGAATCGTCAGGAATACCAACGAACGATCATTTACTCAGTGACAAACTGTTTGAATGAGTTTAATAAATTGTGAGAGTACATCAAGTCAGACATCTTGTCATTGATCAGTTCATGGG